TGTCCCAGCTACGGGAAGATAGGAGAGACCTATTTTTCAACGAACGGCGTCTCCCACTAGCAACTTTCCCTCGAGGGCGGCTAGCATCTTTTTCTAACCACCGATATGGAGATTGACCAATTAGCAGTAACGCCAAATTCTCTCACCTTCTGAACGAAGGCTATCCTCGACGAATCCGATGATCTCGTGTCCTCAGACACACCCCATCATAGTTTTCCTCTGCAGCATCATCGCGACGTAGAGTCATTCTCTCGTGAGGTCGTATTAGCGAGTTACTTAGTGTCTGTACGCTCGGTGGATATTCCACGTTTTCGCAAAGAGTCCGACTTAGATTTTTGTGAGCACGTACATCTATCATCCCGTTGACCGCGGATTCGTTATTGAACCTAAGACCAACATCACTAGTATCGCGAGTGTCCAACCGCCGCGGTTGATTGTCGAGTCGGTAGCATCCATACTCGTATTAACAGACCGTACCTTCGTTATAACATGACGATGGCCGATTCCAATGAAGATTTATCAAACGCCCACAACCTTATTCTTGACGCTTCTCCGACATATGAATAGGCTCTTATATTGGCTGAAAATGTCACTTATACAAATAAAACAATATATCAATGCTTGACAGTGAATGATAGAGAGCAGTATCTCCTTTATTCTTGTAGCATTCTCCTAGTAATCTTTTCAACTTTGCACAATGTACGCAATGTATCATTAATTCATATCTTAATCATAATGCACATTTTGCAGTGGCAAGTTTATCAAAAGATGATACTACTCCTGTAAATGATGGCGATCACATCATGCGTGATGTTAGTCTATCAGGTATTGGCGATTCTTTCAAAGAAAAATCACCCTTAAAGGATACCATTACTGTTGAAAACAAGTATGTTAATAATTGATCAGGAAAATTAAGATTCATTGTTCCACAATTTAATATTTTTAATAAATGTTTCATTACTATTGCAGTAAAAATATCGAACATAGTGCACTAGTAAGATTACCATTACAACCACTAGAACTAAAAAAGAATGATGCCAATATTCCTAGATTAAAAGAAATTACTCCGGGTCAGGATTTATTGGAATGGTGCAAAGAAGTAACTAAAGATTATACTGGCGTAAAAGTTACCAATCTTACAACATCTTGGAGGAATGGAATGGCATTTTGTTCAATAATACACCATTTCAGACCAGATCTTATGTATGTATTAGAAAACGCATCTCAAAATATCTTAATAATATTAAATATAATAATACAAAAATATAAAATGGCTTAATAATATTAAAGATCAATAGAATGATTTTTTACAAATGTATAGCTTAAAATTACATTTTATTGTAAATTATTTATTTTTAATTTTAATAAAAATAATACTACACTGTTTTGTAATAAGTATTTTAATAATAATTTTCAGAGACATAGATTCACTATTACCACATGATGTAAAGGGTAACTGTAAGAAAGCATTTGATGCTGGAGAAGCTCTTGGTATACCTAGAGTAATAGAACCAGCAGATATGGATATACTAACTGTACCTGATAAATTAGCTGTAATGACTTACTTGTACCAATTGAGAGCACATTTTACTGGTCATGAATTAGAGGTATTTAACAAATTTCATTGATGTCTTACTTTTCTGTATCTAGAATTAACTTTTTTAATTATATTATCCATAAATCCAAAGGAGTAGTTGTTTATATATATCTAATTTGATTTTAATATGAAACAATCTGTCAAAAAAATGATCAGTTCAATTGTACTGAACATAAATTTAAATCCCTTTCTACAGGGATTTAATTTGAGCCTTTTACTGTCTTTTTAAGAATTTTTGAATTTAATTCTGCACTCGATATCTCTTATAGTATTTTTTCCTTCTTCTTTTTTTACAGAATTAAATTACCATCTTTACTATTATTTGTTTTTTTATTTGTTTTGTTGTCCATTTTATAGAAAAATTACATAAAATCAAATTTATTCATTCTGAATAAAATAACAACATTGAATTCTGTAAATACTCTTTAATGTACTGAATGACAAGGAGCTCTCTTCAATTCTGTCTCCAATACATACATTAATCTTGATCTCTCATTTTGTATTTAAAATTACTTTTTTATTGAGCAAATACAAAGTTAACAAATGTAATGTTACTCTATCATGGTTTTTCATATAATTACACTTATAAATTCATAAAATAAAAAACATTTTCACACACACACACATATGTATGCATTTATTTATTATATTAATTTCCTGTACACAAAGTATACTATGCATTTGTGATCAAGTTACACATATAATTTATTAAATATCTAGAAAGTGATATGTACAATATAAAAACTATTGTACACTTTTTCAGAAAAAAAGTTATTTCATATTTTCAGGTACATCAGATAGGTAAAACTACAGATGAATCATCTTACATGATTGGAAGATTTAATACAGACAATAATTCGGATGTAAGCGTGCAACTGTTTGGTCAGGAAATAATTAATTTACGTAAAAAGGATCAAATGGAACATAAAAATAATAAAACTGATAGCAACAGACGGTATGTTTTTATTATATTATTAATATTTTTAATTTTTTTGAAATATTAGAAAAGACAATAAAAATACAACATTTTTCACTAGATCAAATCCATTTGATAATAAGAAAGAGGACATTAATATTGATTCCTTAAAAAATAAGTTGCATCTAAGTTTGAATATGGAAAATCAAGATCATGATCAATGCAATAAGGATAAATCACCATCAAGTGTTAAGGATGTTAAAGATATTATACTAGCTAGTTCAAAAAGTATTCTGGAGAAAGTATTGTCACCAACTAAAGAAAAGTACTCATCTAGAGAAAAGGTATATAAGTAAATTTATAATGGATAAATAACTTCTATGTATCGTTATGTTACATTTATAGTGTCACGGTTATAAATAACTATTTTTAAATGAGTGATAAGGAGGTATTTTGTGACTGACATTATTTTATTATTAATTATATACACAGAGTAAATCTCCGCCAAGAATATCACAAGCACAGCAACGCCCTATATTAATGACTCGTCGACAATTAACAGATCCTTTCGGATCTGATGAAGAAGAGGAAAATATTCAAATAATTGATGAAAAGTGGTCTCAATCAATCTCAATTAACAAATCAGAAACGCCAATGTATAATGTTAGTATTTTTGAATTGTTTAAATATTTGAATTTTATATAGCTATATAATTGAGTTTATATTATCTCCTTATACACTACATTAGCAATTTTTTGTAAGCAATTTTTTATTTTTTTTATGTAATCTCAAAGTATTAGGACTTCCCAACAACTTCTTATAATGTATATCAAATGCAAAAACTGTTTCGAAATTTTTAGTTTATCTTAAAAATAAAAGCTTTGTGTGTAATACTGTCATATTTTTATACATAAGAGGAGAGATATTTAGATGTAATATATCAGGTTTTCTGTACGGCGGGATAGAGTTGCAGCTTTGAAATAGTTGGAAGTAATAGAATTGATGACTTTCAGTAATAAATCATAGTTCAATACGTCGTATAGCACAAAAGTCTGTTTTGAAATTGGAGATGTTTCAAAGATTTTATGAGTAACTTTATTTTTTAATGGAATCGTCAATCTTTTCATACACTGATTGGTGTACAAAATTTTTAATGAAAAAGTATGAAACTACTTTTCTTTGGAAATAGTTTCAAAGATATCTTATCTATAATTTTAAAGTAGTATTTGAATTCACGTGTCCACACTTGTACTGCTTTTTTTTTAAATTAGTATAAATGTGAATATAGTGAGTATAGAAAATGGTATAGATGTAGTATAAATTCTTGTTTTGAGATGTTTATTCATTTCAAAATATTTTAGTTATAATACTTTAATAAAACGATTAACAACTGCCAAAAACTAACAACCGCTTTAAATAATATAAAATACTAGTGGCTCTGGTTAATGACATTTTATGCTTTGATATAAATGTGTAAATTTCGCTTATGCAATATGGAGAGGATATTTTTCACACAACTTATAAAGTTATATCACAATAACTTATAAAGTTAATTATTGTTAGACAGAAGTTCATGAAAGATGGTCATATTTCCATCTGCTCATTTGCATTTTCAGTAAATTGCACTTAATATTCATACCAAAGTACGAAAAATGTCCACACATCAAAATGTATTTATTTATGCTATGCATTTACTATTTGCACAACATATTTTATGTTCACATATGTTTATATATATATTTTGCATGTATATTTTGCATTCAAATACACGGGTATGAAAAATTTACATATTTAGTATTTATAATAAATTACATATATATATGTATATATGTATATATACATGCATATTGTATGTGAATGTTGATTACGCAGATTATATTCTTAATGTAAATCGTAACATTTAACATAGGATAAATTTTCGATAGTTTAGTAATTGAACTAATTTTATTTATCTTCTTTTTATAGGATTCAGTCAATGTTTGTGAAAGGGGTAATCGTACTGAATATCAGAGTGTATCATCACCGCAAGGAGAACAACGTTCTCAACATGTAATTACTTTCTTCATACTTACCAACTTTTTTTGTAGTGTCATAACTAATTTACTATTTTTCTTTCTTTTTTTTTTTTTTTTATATTAGCCATTAGTCAGTCGACATGACGAATTAAGAGAACGTGCCAGGCAACTATTAGAACAGGCTAGGAATCATACAAAGTCAACTGGCCTTATTTCCACTGCTGCTTATCCTATTGAGGTTTTGTTTTTTTTTCAGTGTTATTATTTTGTGTAGAATAGTTGTGTATATTCATTTAGTTTCATACTTTTTACACTAACTTTGTCATTTCTAATCAGATTGTCCTTTGCATTAAGAAATATTTTATTTTATAACATTTAATTTATAGAGCCAAAATGATGATGAAAGACAGCAACAATTACGTGAAAGAGCAAGACGTTTAATAGCGGAAGTAAAAATGGGTGTTAATGTTACTTCAAATCAAATTAATGATGACAATAATAGTGAGAGACGATCCATAGATGATCAGAATAATAGTCCAAGACGTAGTATCACACCGTCTACTCCAGGTGACAAATTTAGTTCAAAGGTAGGTAATTATTTTGTTCAAAATTGAATATTTCTATATTTAAATATGTATGTATAGAGTAAAAACTCCTGTACTCGAACCTCTAATATCCAAATACTAGTCTGTTAGTACCAACAGATGCTTTTTTTTGTTACAAATGCTATTATTACATCTATTAAAGCAATGATTCCCAAAGTGTGCACCCTGGAGAAAACTATGTCTGCCATTGTGAAAGAGCATGGCTTCTTTCTCTCTTTTTTTTTTAATCGCGCAATTGTATCTGCTGTTATAAATTTTAGATCCCGAACATTTGAGTACCCCCATATCCCTAATATATACATCTAGCCCTACATAACTTCCCTTACTCTGGAATATTATAGCTTCTCAGTCCTAAATGCAGTTAAGCAATGATTCGGGAAACAGTGTAAAATTAATATTATAACAAAATATCATTACAAAATTACTATTATATTTATACCATCTTAGTAGTTTCTTAGAGTAGCTTAACTCTACATTAATAAAAAAAAGGTGTGTTTTTTATTTCTGATATTAAATGATTTGAATGTTAATGCTCTTACTCCATCAATGAATAGAAATTTATGTTCTTTACATCACTTATGACAAAGCACAATTTTTAATATTCATTATAAGAGATATAAATTTATATACAATAAATATTTCAGTCTGAGTATAATGGAAACACTCTAGGAACTTCGAATGTAATAGATGCAGAGAAAAAAACTGGTTCTCCTCTATTCTCGTTCTCTAAGATAATAGAGAGAATTTCACCAGATAAAACTAGCCCTGATGGTACTTCATATACACTCAGAGGGGTATGGTTTAAATTAATTTATTTGGAATTAAGTTAGAATCAAATATCTTATGAATCATTTCATATGTAGCTGGGAAAAGATATGACATCATATATTCAAAATGAATTAGAAGCATTAGAAAGAGAACAAAATCAAATAGATATTCAAGCTGGTAAACTTGAGAAACAACTTCGAGCTGCAATGGAAAGCGACAATGAGGATGAAACAGAAAGACTAATGTCTCTTTGGTTTACGCTTGTCAATAAAAAAAATGCATTATTGAGAAGGCAAATGCAATTGAATATATTGTAAGTAATTATGTGTTTGGTATTTTATTAATCATCTTGAATACTGTTTAGATATTTGTTGTATTGTTCTTTTATCATTTGTAATATACTTTAGAGAAAAAGAAGATGATCTAGAACGACGTTTTGAATTGCTAAATCGTGAATTGAGAAGCATATTAGCAGTAGAAGAGTGGAGAAAAACTCCCGAACAAAAAATGAGAGAAAATTTACTTTTAGAAGAATTAGTTTCAATAGTAAATAAAAGAGATGAATTAGTTCATCATCTTGATACACAAGAAAGAGCGTAAGTATAGAAGGTTAATTCATATTCAAATTTTATTGAAATTACATAATATAATAAGTATAATATAATTAATAGACATTAAAAGCTGATTTTATGGATTGTTCTTTCTGTGAATGTTATGTTACATTTTGTTTTATTATTATTATATTTTAGTATTGAAGATGATGACGAAATAGAGCGAAACTTATCTAGAGCTGGATTAGCTCAAAGAAATAAAAATTGTATGATACAATGAAAGAGTAATTTTATTCCTGTCAATACGAGGAAAGTGACAAGTGAGTATTCTTAAATATTACAGACATTTTTTAATTAAAAAATGAATAATACAAAATCTTTCCCAAACAAAAGTTAAATGATCTTTAACTAAAAATAATTTTAGGTACGATTCGTTTTGCTGTGGGGTTGCCAAAGAAAACACATAATAAAATTTTTCTCAAAGATAAAATCGAGAATTTTATAATCTGTAAAACATTAATATTTAAAAACTTATTTTATACTATGAACTGTATACAAGTTGTACACAATCCGTGTTTTATATTTATACAAATTCATTAAGTACTGCATAAACAAAATGCTACATTTTGTAGTAGTTTTAGGTTCAAAATAAAAACTGGTCCGTCGAAGAAATACATAAGATCAATGAAGCCTATTACGAGGTTGCAAAGATTATATGTAAAAAGAATATGTTGCTAGAAAAAATGAATTTTGGTTATAGTTCGATTCATTTATGATTCTAATGTCTTATAAAGGCAATAGTAGAAAAATACGGTACGTAGGAAACTGCTAAAAGAAGGTGCTTGAATCTCGATAAGTGACGAAAGAATATAAAAAGAAATGCTGCAACATATAATGTCATATCTGCAATTAAGCAGTATTAAACATTACATAAGTTACTTAAAAAGTTACATATAAAGATACATATGTCACTTGAGGAAGAAGAAAGAAATTAGTTATTACAAAATAGTATGGAAAATTTTGTGAAAGATTTTAATGGATTATGTCTATTTTGTGCCATATAAAAATATCCTAATTTTTTTATTCAAGTAATCATTTATTTGCCTATAAAATATTTGTCATTTTAGCATTGTGTAATATGCAATTATGCATAGAGAGTATCATATTCATTATTAATTCCTGGGTTCCATATTAATGATATATGAGGCCTAATTAATTTTGTACATTCATGCATGTATAAAATATTATCGTATATTTCTTTTTCTCAAAAGTAATGAAATGAATTATACAATAATTATTATTTCAAAATTTTATTTCTATTAAATATGCTTTTCCAGATTCATTGATATTTTAATTAATGTTAAATAAAATAACCAAAAATTAAATTGCCAAAAATTCATAATTCATTCACAAACTTAAGGACAAACATAGGACAATTAATATACATATTCCATTTATCTATAGCTTTGATTACGTAACGCGTAATTTTAGCAATGTATTTTATGTGTATATACAGGGTATCTTACACAACTGGGACAAGCTGTATTCTTAAAACAGAGGAACATGAAAGAGTATGTTATAAACGAAAATTAAATACTCTGTTAGATGCTGCAAATATTTCTATATTGCCTTAATAAGTTAGTCTACTTGAAAAGTGCTTTTCAAGATGGAATTCTGTTGTCTTGTAATGCAATTGTCTTGTACATTATAATAAATTATGTTTTTCAGGAACATATTATGATAGCAAAAGTTGGTTATATTGAATATGCATTGGAAAAAGGATTTATTAATGAGCGTCCAAAAAATTGAAGAAATAATATTATATAGAGGTAATAATGGGTAAATTGCTTAAACGTTAAAATTGACATTGATTTAAAGATAAAAACCACGTAACTTATAGACTGGGTCAGTAATGTTTCAAAATGTGCTGGAGGGATCCGAAGATTTTGAGGATCATTTTATAATAAGATCCTGATCTCAAATGAACGAAAGTATTTATGTCCTAAATCTATTAGTTTAAATATTATTTCAATTTTATGTTTATTGAATATTTTTGTGTATCATAACACTGCTATTATAGAAAACAGCTCAACTATCTCATTGATTACTTTGTGAAAAAATATTTTATAATGTTCAATATGAACAATTGGTTCATGTTTATTGATACATAAAAATGGCATATTACTACATCTGATATATACAGAAAATATAACAAAGAAAATTGAAAATTGAAATAATTTTTAAACTAAACCCTTGGAACATAATTAACTGAATATTTTTTTATAAAGATAAATTAGATTGATATCCATAAGGTATAAAATGCTATATAAAAGGGCATAATTGCACTTTTCAAGTGTACAAATGTATAAAAGTACATATAAATAATGTAGAAATATATGATATTTTTTAGTATCATCTATTTTCTTTTTTAATATGAGTTTTTATTTTCAATTGTTCTAAGGTTCTTAATCATAGATTAAACAGCTCTTCTTAATCATAGAGGAGACAGCTTATCTCAATTGTATATTCGTTTATGTTTCAAAACTAGATACGAAATTTTATGTTTATACTTAGTAATCTGCTACATATACACAGTGTGACCGAAAGCATTGCATCAACTGGTAGAAAGTCATTCCTTATATAAAAATAAATCGAAAATGTTGAATAGAACCTTTTTATTCAAGATTTAATTCCTATCTTGAATCTAATAATATGTGCAAAATCACGCAGACAGTTTATATAGAAACAATAGGAACTATAGTATCAAAATGAATTTTCTTGACAATTAATGTAATTTTATTCTACATTTTTGATTTATTTTTACATAAAAAATCACCTTCTATCTACTTAATAGTTCCTCCAGCCCTGCCCTGTATACATATATATACACACACACATGTAATAAAACGGATTTATTTAATTAATTTTCTAAAAGAATTTCTATAATTAATTTTTCATTAATGTCATTAATATGGCTACTAAGAAACTGTAACATCAGAGAATAAGTAAAGAATAAGTATGCAATGTGCATATAATATAATTCTTTTGCCTTGCAATGTAAAATTTATTTTTATTTAACAATTTTATGATATACATATAAAAATAATACTCAAAAAGTACTAAGCAACTGTTACTTTACAAAGTAAAGAAATCTAAGCTAATAAAACTTAGTTAACATAATATAATGGGATTGGTGCAGGCATATCATACTCAATGTAACTGCCATAATCGATCATCAAATACATAGAAAGCAATGCTTTCATGAAATATGCACATATAAAATAGATTGTACTTCATGTTCCATAAATTCAGTTTGGTGGTAAAAAAGTACTGAATTTTACTTTTAATGTTAATATGTGTGCAAAGCAGACACATTTGATTTCAATAATAACATATAAAAGATAATGAAAAAATTTTAAATAAGCTAAGAATCGTTTTTGTTATCTTTCATGCGTTTCTAATCCTTATATAGTGAATGTTATTGTACATAATAAAGCTTTACAATATTTTAAAATAATGAAAATTTTTCAATATTCTTGGTAATTGTTAGGACATATATATATATAAATATATATAACACAAAACGTACCGAAAAATATCGAACTGCAATACTGAAAAGTGACTGTTAAATTTTCTTTACTTCGCTGTATCTATTTTAGTACTAATTTATCGAATATCGTAACAGAAAATGTCCGATTTCTATGACTAATGTAGCAATAATTTATTATTTCAATGTCTGCAAATATTTATATCTGTACGTGAGAGCGGTAAATTGTGTATATACAAGATTAATAATTATAAGACATGTGTATGTACCACATAGAGTTGTGAATATGCAGCGTATCTCGTAATAATTATTTAATCAATATTGAATTAATAGTTTAATAAATAACATATTCTTAAGGCGATTGATATAATTAAATTAGTACAGTGTATATGTTTATTTTAAAATATAAAATTGGAACAGTGAAATATCTAAATTAAGTTAACACATTGCGTACGGCGCTCTGCGTGCTTAACGCGCTGTCAGGCTCCCTTAGCGCACACATTTTTTATCGGCACAGATCTACCGACGTACTGGCTATACCGACTGATTGTTTTTACATGCTTAGAATGTTAACATTCAGTTCTTTTGCTAATTATTTGTCACAAGAACGCAAGGCTTCGTTATACTGGTAACATAACAAAAACATTTGCCTGTGGTTGCTAAGTCATCGATTCAGTCGAAAAACATGAAAACATGAAAACATTGAGATATCTCGTAACCCGTACGCAATGTTATGAAATTCTCTCTCTCTTTCTTTCTCTTTTTGTACTTATATTAAATTAAGTGCAATATACCTTTAATCAAATTATTATAATTATATTCGTTGCTTAATTTCGAGATACTTTGTATATATGTTCCAACATAAAAACGTTTTCATATTTGTATTGTTATGTAATGTTGTACTAAAGTAAATTTAATTTATTTTATTCGTTACTATTAAAAAATACTGACTACAATATATTAAAGTTATAAAAGCAATGACAATTCTTGCCAATATAATATGGAAAAAAATTAATTAACTTGTAAATTATTTTATGTGAAAAGTCAAATGTATAGCATGTCAAAACACAGTAGTACTCGATAAATAAAAAGAAATAAAGCACTAAGACAAAACATAAAACATTTTTATAATATTTATTATACAGCCTTACCATACAACTGGAATTATGTAATATGTGAATTGATATGGTACTTGGAATGATAATAAGCAAAGCTTACATGTTTAGGTTTAATTTTTACCTTTACTTTTAATTTTTATGGATAATTTTATAGAACATAGTATAATTAAAGTAAGAAAGTAAAGATATCGTTTTTAAAACCGAATTTGGCAGTAAAGGCCGCTTTTAAGAGCGAAATATACATTTGAAATGGTGGAAATCTGCAATAGTAATATTTCTTATTTTAGAAAATAAATATCAACTTGTTTACAATTTTTATACATACTGTTTGATGCGCAAAAAAAAAAGTAAAAATTTTCGTTTTAGAAACACGTCTATACTTCCCAAATCGCAGTGTCACCTGTGTAAGATCGTTATGAGATCATGATCCTCGTATGCAAGGGACTAACTCTATATTCTGAAACAAATCCTTAATATGTAATTCGATAATAAATAATTAATACGTAATAACGTATAATTATTGGAATACTAGTTCCATCGTACGTGTCCATTTTTGTTTATGCAGATTTGAACGATAACATGATATTAGATCTTTAGAATTATTTTCATTTCAATCACCTATGAGACGCAGCCTTCGATACAAACATGAAAAAACGCGGGAAGATTATCCAAGAAACAGGTATTTCCACGGTGAAGATGGAAATAAGCGATTACAAACAATTTGGCCACAGTCTTTCTATGTATCTTCAGGAGGAGTGGTCTCCCCTAACGGTCTATGGCGGATCGGTACCAACAGGACGCTAACAGGTCGAGGCATCAACGTGGTCGTAACACCTCCCGGGCGATCCGCGGGTGCCAACCGCCAACACCAGAGGACTACTACGACGACAACGAATCTGTCTGTCTCGCTAGCGGTCGAATATACGATGTCACGATACAAATACCGCACCTAGCGAGACTCCCTCTACGTCTAAGGCAGGGACTACCGGGTATAGCCTTACTGACGAGTCCACCGGTAGTCCCGGGACGAAACACGAATTCTCTTTTCACCTAGCTCCAACTACACTTCCTACAGGTCCAATCAACAGGATGACTCCCTGATACACCATCAGGGAGAAGACGAAGGAGTACGAATAGATGGCCTCTCTGGATTGTCCTACCAATCGTCAGGACGATCACCATGATGGAGGTTTTTAGCCGATATGAATCCGACACTACCCGGCGCCCTCTCCCGGGAAGTGACGACTCCCCTTGTCTTCAAGGTCCCGGCGTGACTCTTTTAGTTTTGCAGCACACATGTTTTTCAAGACTCTCTTGAAACAAATCTCCGTGTACCTACTCGTCTAGTCAATTACTTTCTCAAATTATTCGCTAAATTTAAGGATAAAATTATCTGGGCCAATGCCCTTCATAGAATA